TCTTAAAGGGATCCAGGACTAGTTGAAAATGTTGGCCTAAATGCCACACTACAACACTGTTGGCTTTAAGAGCGCAGTGGGAGAGAGCCGAAAATGTTGTGTTCTCAACATTTTCCTCCAGAAGTCATTTGTACAAGCAAAACTAACGAAGGCTTGAACAGGTGAGTGTTACCTTCACAAGCTAAAAACAAATGTCATGTGGCCAGTTTTTATCCACAAAGCGCCTATGACAGAACACCCGGCTTGAGAGTGAAAAATGTCTCGAGAAACAGACAGACATCACTAGAAGGTCTTTGGAATGCTAAAGGAGTTCTGTGGCAGTAGTATCAGTGACACTACTGCTGCCTCGTTTACGTCCAGACCAAGACCAGATCCTAAGCAACTGTTACCAGGCCGGACACAGAACTACAGACACTGGAAAAAACATCGGAGAAGCAGTGCTGGGAACTCTTTTAAATGCTAATGGGGCTAGAATACCGGTATTAAATGTAAAACCACAACAGACACCGGACGAAGACCAAACCCTAAACATTTTGACTTGTTTACTTGCAATCTTGGCAAAACTGAACTTGGACTACAAAATTGCTGCAAGGAAAATAAGTGTTGGATTTACAAAACTGAATAGCCATGACCTCATTTAGCAAATCCACAGCAAATACGGTGACATCATAGATAAGAAAAAGATTAAAGTGAAAAATTAAGAAACTGAAAAATATAACCCAAAATGAGTATAAAGATATCTACACAGAACTGGGAGAGAATATTTTTTTTTTTGCACTCCTTGGCACTCAAAGTATGCAAAAAATGTATAAAAAAGGATTCATAATTAGTTGTAACAATAGACTTAATCTGTGTCCGGTCCGGTAACAGCTGTTCAGTTCTAGTGTTGATTAGTGCACACAATTTCTTACATCCTCCCACAGCATCACAGCCTCTTCAAAATGTCTGGTTAAATTTTATTTTTCTTGGGAATTTACCCAAGAAAAATCAGTGGTCAGTATGTGTTGAGCACATACTGACCTCTTCCAGTATCAAGAGGGATTCCCCAAAATTCTGTTACAGTGAGGCATCAGTTTCCTCTCTCTATTGAAACAATGAATACAGCAAAGCAATTGGCTCCAAATGACGCTAAAAAGACAGCAAAGCTTACTTTAGACATACATTTTGTGTTGATCCTGAGGCCCTGGCTGTTGTGAAATATTTTGATTTAAAACCAGCAACAGATTTCATAGGAAATAAATGAATAATTAGTTAATACAGATTACAAGACTGACTTGGGAATATCAGCTAATTATATTTAGAATTTACTGAAATAACATTTTTAACTAACAGTTTTATTTGAAACAGGAAATTGAAATGCGAGATGTTTTTTTTTAAACAATAGTTGTCTCAGCAGACAACTATTGTCTTTTTTTTCCTGTTTTTTTTTGTTATTTCCTTTGTTTCTCTGATCAGTCCACTGCAGTATCTGTTCAGCTGATACTTTTTTTTCTTTGGTTTACTTATTAAACGGACAGAAACAAAGACCAGCATCTCCATGATCATTTTTGAAGCTCCTGTCTCTACATTGGGCATTGATTTGATAGTAGCATTGAGGCTTCTGCTTCTGTTAGTAGTGTGTGCTAGCTATTAGCTGCCTTCTTGAGGATATAACTGTACTGCGTGTTTTGAAATTAATTATCGCGTTTTGTTTTTGAAATTTTTGCCTTGGGGAATACATGCAAGTGCATTCAGTGACGTTCTTGGTGCTCCATTAGCTAACTCCTTAATTATGTTTTGGCTTTGTTTACTTCATTCATACCGTGGTAGCTTTAATATTTTAAAAGGTATCTGGCATGCATGGATACTATAGTTAAACTATGGTCCATATTGTAGGTAGTTGGTATGGATCCACTTTTATAGACCATAAGTGAATCATTTACATGAAAAAAGGAAGGATTTAAAAGCATGATATATCCACTTTAATCTCACCATTTGAAGACAAAAGTCTGAATTCTGAGATTTAGCTCAGAAATGTTTTTTTTTTTTCAGTGACATAAACAGAAGTGTTGATTTAAGTGTTTAAGTATATATTAAAACATATACTTAAATATGTAAACATATACTTAAAAAAGTATATGTTTTAATATACTTGTACATTAAAACATGACAAGTATAATCATTTGATTTATCCATCTTAGGATCACATATATTGGAAAACTGATGCAGAGCAAGCTTTTCACTTTGCCTCATGTTAACAGGAATAGAGTTTGGTTTAATCCAAGAGCTGCTGCATTTCACAACTTTACAAACAATGAAGTAGTGTGATTTTTTTTTCACACTCTGGATTTCTGAATGTTTGTTGAACTTTAAACATCCAATAAAAAGCTTGACCTTCAGGTTTCTACCTTCTAAACCTTAAGAGAGAAGTCAGAAATGTAGTAGGCAGAAATGTCTGTTGTTAATGGAGTACTGGTGGTTCTTACTTGCAGCTTCCACCAGCTCTGGGTGCAGGCTGTAGGGGATCAGAGGGTCAGGCAGGTCAGCAAAGAAAGCCTTCAGCGCTCCAGCAACAGCATTCACTGCCAGGTCCATCTCTCCAAAATCAATGCTGTGATCTGCACAGAGAAACATGACACAGCAGCAGAGAAGGTTTATTCTTTGCAACACAACATGGAGAAGTGCCTTGTCCAGAAAAGGCTTTACTGTATCTATCGACTTAAGGAGGTGTAAGCCAGACATTCAAGGCGATCATAATAAATGGGGAAAGGGTTAGGGCTCACTAAAATTTGACAATAGAAGATTGGAAAAACATTGCCTGGTCTGATGAGTCTCTATTTCTGCTGCGACATTCGGATGGTAGGGTCAGAATTTGGCATCAACAACATGAAGGCATGGATCCATCCTGCCTTGTATCAACAGTTCAGGCTGGTGGTGGTGCAATGGTGTGGGTGATATTTTCCTGGCACACTTTGGGCCCATTAGTACCAACTGAGCATCATGTCAATGTCACAGTCTACCTGAGTATTGTTGCTGACCATCTCCATCCCTTTATGACCACAGTGTACCCATTCTCTGATGGCTATTTCCAGAAGGACAACGAGCCATGTCATAAAGCACGAATCATCTCAGACTGGTTTCTTGAACACGACAATAAGTTCACTGTACTCGAATGGCCTTCACAGTCACCAGATCTCAATCCAATAGGGAATGGGAAATTTGACAAATCTGCAGCATCTGTGTGATGCTATCATGTCAATATGGACCAGACTCTGAGGAATGCTTACAGTACCTTGATGAATCTATGCCACGAAGGATTAAGGCGGTTCTGAAGGCAATATGGGGTTCAACCTGGTACTAGAAAGGTGTACCTGATAAAAGCAGACATTCTTACTTTTGTATAATATTTAAATCAAACTTTTAATAGACAAAAATAAATATTGTTGCATAATATCTTTAATCTTCAGCCAGATGCTGGATGGCATCCCCTCTGTCTATTGACTGAGAGGATGGACTCACCTGTCTGTCATGTCTGTCCCCCTCTCTGTTTCATAATAGTATGATCCCATATCTTCACACGTGATTGGCCACAGGCACATGCAGAGAAGGAGAGGAGGAGTATTGAGCCTATTTTTCTTTATCTGTGTGTCAGGAAGCCTGCTTGTCCCACTCAACAATATATTTATCTAAATATAACAATTTAGATTTAAATTAGTCTAACTGCCTTTGGTCTAATAATGACTGAACAGATTCTAAGTGCCTCTGCCTCCATGTTTTGTAATTTGCAAATTTTATTGAAAATTATTTTCCATACAAGTGTTCATCCAAACTTTTTTTTTCTAAATGTTCTACATTGCAAGAGAAGCTGCACATGCATTCTGTACCTGCATTGGACAAAACAATTTTGCTATTCTGTATATTACCCAATCTACCCATACACTTACTAATTAAAAAGAAAAAAGAAAATAAAAATTCAAAATCCAGTTTTCTTGTCTGTTGTTCTCTTCCAGGTCATGCCAATTTGAAATCTCTTCTCACTGAAAATGAACTGTAAGCAAACTATTTACAGTCTGTAGCACCATAGAATACCCCAAACCAACAGTATTATTCAACAAAGTCTGATCTTCATGGTGAAATAAAACCCTGCTGTGTCTTTTCCACATTGCCTCCAACATTTTGTATCTTGGTATTTTCTTTGTGCTGGTGTAATGAAATATCTTACAATATTCTCCCAGCCAAACTCTCTCCACGAAAGGGAAAAATATGTTTTCCGTTGTTACCCATATATGTCCTCCCAGCTCTCCTGTGACAGTCCACAGTGAGCCTCTTTTTCCCATCTTACTTTTACGCATGTTGTATTGCTTTTCTTCAAATTTTCCAATCCTGTGCACAATTTAGAAATTATTTTCTTCCCCACCTTCGATTCATTTGCTGAAATAAACATCGTAACTAAGTGAGTTGAGATTCCAACTCAATTCTCGTATGTTTCGGACTATAAGCCGCTATTTTTTTCCTACACTTTGAACCATGCGGCTTATAGCCCGGTGCAGCTTTTCTGTGGATTTTTCATCAACCACCAGAGGGCTCTTTAGGAGGAAGTGAATCATTGGAAGTCAAAATTGGAAATCAAAGAAGAAAGTGTTGATTTTCATTTTGAAGAAGTCATGCTAGCAGGAGGCACGATGGAAAAATGTTTTGTGCGAGCGTATGTTTTCCACGCTCCTTCAACCTTCCTTCGGGGGAGAGGGGGGGAGCGATTTATGTTTTCGCATCCACCTGAATAATGTCTAGTTGCGCCACTGGGGCTATTGATCTGGCAGTACAGATTGGTAGCTGCTGCACGTCAGCTTGGCGTGAACGAATCCAAGGTTTGGCGTTGGACACGCAGGGCTGCGTCCTTAATAGGAGATTAAGGCCCTCTGCTGTGTCCTTGTGGAAAACCGAGAGCGGCAGAGATACCAGTGGTTTATAGCCCGGAGTGGCTTAAACATGTACGTTTGTTATGGACCTTTTTTTTAAAAAAAAAAACAACTTTGTGGGTGTGTGTTATAGTGAGGTGCGCTCTATAAATATGGTAAATGTATCTTTTTTATTTTATCGTATTTTTTCAAAATATCTTTATAGGAATTTTTGCAGTTTAGACAAATAGCTTGAACATTCTGCATGGCAGCAGTAGAAGTGGTACTGTTCAGGCCAAAATAAAATACAAACAGAAATCAACAAAATGCCTCTCACCATCCTGGTTCTAATGCAGCCCATCACATATTCCACATATCATCTTTATATTGAGATATTAAATTCAACAGTGTATGTCGTCTAATAGAATTGCCTTTGGGAACTCCAGTTAACATGTTCTTCAGTCACTTGTACCGTCTTCCGGGATGTTCAGATCTTTGACATACTTAATGAAGGGATTCCAGATGAACTCAAACAGATCCTGTTTGCCCTTTAATACATATGTAATCTATTCCAGAGGGAGGACAGATCCATTTCCATATTTGACTTGTTATTGAAGCCCATCGGTCATTTGACAGGTTAAAATTCACACCCTTGACTGATGCACATGGGCAGACATTATAGACTTTACGCAAAAAGTTAATCACAGAGGCAACTAAAATCAATTAATAATTTTTAAAA